ATTTGGCGTGACTACTGAGACACTGAGTTGAGAAAAAATATCAAGTTTGAGACGCACGCTTTGGGGGCAGATTTTTGGGGGTAGACGTCTTCCAATAAATTTTCCTCCCTGCCGAATCGTGCAGAGATGTAAAGGCGAAATTCGGCACACCAACAATTGAGGTCGGTTCGGAAAATATTGATATTCTGTGGGGCATTCCCTCAGGGTCCAGCTTTTGGCTGCGTCGGCTTTTAGGAAATATATTTTTACGCCAGAAAAAAAAAAACAAAAAACAAATGGATCAACCTGAAACTTGGTAGGCACGTATTTCTTAGAGTACCGATTTCAGTAAAAAAAAAGTAAAAAATGATAAATAAAATATCAATTTTAGGTGAAAATTGGGAGAGCACATTTTCTTTGTAAAAAAGCGAATTTTCCGCTATATTTCCACATCGAAGGAAAGAGAGAACGAAAGAAAGTTGAAACCTGGAGCGGAAATTGATTGATGAAAATATCGGTTCGTTTTCTCTCGGCACACATTTTGACAGACACATATTTTAAATATGGCTTTCCCACATTGAAACTAAATTAATAAATTATCATTATCGTGGACAAAGAGAAAAATTTAGTCTTTGTCAAGTTATTCTCATTCACGGGATTATCCATCTAATCCCCTTTTCCCCAGCTACCTTGTGATCGCCACCTCGCGGCTGCCAACACCGCCCAAGCCAGCGATGAGCCGCGGTTTTGGTTTCGTTCTGAAGATGTCGCTTTTATGTTTTGATATATCAATATATTTTGATATATAAATGACGTTTTTAGCTTTCCTCGGCGGTGTCGTCCGTCTCCAGAATTTCCTGGGGGGTCGCCGTGGTCTTTTAGGGTAATTAGCAGGTGATAAATCTTGGCATTTCGGGGAATTAGATCGACGAGTTGCAGATAATCGATCGTTGCACCCGCCCATTTTGTCCCCTTTTTTTTCTCCCCAAAACTCACAATCGAGAAAGAAATTCCAGATTTTAATGTTCTTTCCTCGCCGGTTTCTATTGAAGAAAAATGATTTTTTTATTACTTCTGCTAATGCCTGCCTTCATGCTTCCAAAAGTCTGTTTTCATGATATTAATGCCTGCTTTTATGTCATTAATGCCTGCCATCATGCCTATGCCTGCTTTCATGCCACTAATGCCTGCTTTCATGCCACTAATGCCTGCTTTCATGCTCCTCGATGCCCGACGGTCAGACGGGTTTTGAGGCGACGACGAAACCGCTTCGCGTGGCTTCCCTCTTAATGAATTATGATGATAAATTATGGAATAAATTATGGACACGAACGGGTCTGAAATGACTCGGAGAATCCAAATGCACGAAAAGTTCTCATTTTTGCTTCCGCGTGCTTCTTTCTTTTTGCTGTTTCGTCGAGAAAACAGTATTTACTTATTTATTTTTCATTTTATTATTATTATTATTATTATTTTAAGCTTGCGCGTTCGCAGACTGCTACGTTTCCAGCAGACTTTCGAATCGGCAATCCCAATCGCCAAAACCAGGCGAACGATAAATCGTTCGGAAGGAATCAAACATCAGAAGCGGATTGGAATGATGGCCTCGGAAAATCGGAACTAATTGATTCACAACTAATTGATTCATGAATCATACACATGTGAAGCCATAAAACTTGACTTAAAAAATGTCATTCTGCTCGTGTTCATCTACATGGGAATACTTCAATTTTCAATATAATTTCTCTGCCTTTGAGAACTACATTCGGAGAGCATTGCGAGTAAATGTTACAAATAAATGCTTAAATAAATGGACACTTCGGTTTTTATTTTTTAATATTTTTGTTTCCCGTATTGTACGGACACGTGAGTGAAATTGAGAAAGTGAAACACTTTGTCAACTACAGGCACCTGCTTCTTTTCTTCATAATGGATGAAGCAAGGGATGAGAATCCCTTGGCATGGGATCGGAGCACTGCCACTGGCCCGCTCCGATTCGGACGGATTTCTAAATAGACTTTCCGTAAAGAGTCCGTGACCTTCAAGGGGGAGAAAACATGCTGTCCTTGGCATAACAGAGCAAAAAAATATTCCGTTTTGAGAATTATTTTCCGCGAATTTGAATGCATAAAATTTCCATTCCAAAAAATTTACATATTGAAAATTTGCATACATAAATACGCCATACGCCACTGGGGAAGAGAGGAGACAACGATCCTCCTTCCAAGGAGGTTCAAAACCCTCCTTGTCGGTGCAAGGAGGTTCAAGACCCTCCTTGCACTCGCATCCGCAAGGACCCGTGGAGCCATCTGGCGGTCGCCTCGACGACTTAAAGGCGCGTGGGAGAGAGAGGGGACTCTTAAGGACTTGCGAAAGTCGATCAAAAATGAAATTTCTCGTGACCGGCATTGGCGCATCCGCCTCGGTATGAGTTGGCTTTGGCGGGGCCAATTACCGTTCTTCGACGCCCTCCAGTGACGAAATTCAACATCCTCGCATTCTTCATTCCAAAAAATTCCAATTCCAATTCCAAAAAATTTCGCGATTAAGTTGACACCAGGATCAGGATTGCATCCTAAGTAGAAGAGAAGTGACAGAAATCGGTGGGTGGGCGCCAGGAGTCGAAAGTAGGTCACATTCGAATTCATACATCTGGAGAACTGTGCGAAAGACAAAAAAATTGGTTTAAATTAGTTTCTTTAAGTCGATTCCTAGACATGTACGCCGATTTTGGCGGTGGCGGGAAGTGGCATCTTCCTTTGTTGCTTACGATGCACCGTTCCCCCCCCCCCCCCCCCCCCCCCCCCCCCCCCCACCCCCCCCCCCCCCCCCCCCCCCCCCCCNGGGGGGCCCCTCCCCCCCCCCCCCCCCCCCAAAAAAAAGAAGAAATTAGATGTGGTTCGTTTGGGCTCGGCGTGAGGGCGCCTGTCCCGTCCCACGGGGTTCCCGGATATCGTGCCGGATTTATGTCTGATTCTTGACTTATTCGGCCTTAGTATCGGTGTGGGGATCTTCTGTTTTTAGTCTTTTTTTTGCTGAGTTTATTGGATGAGCTGAGGTTGAAACGGTGGGTGGCGGCGGCCGATCGATACTGTCGGATGTGGAGATATCTTGTGTGTGGTAGTGTGTGTGGGTGTGTGGGTGGGTGTGGGTGAGTGGTAGTGTGTGTGGGTGTGTGCGGGAGTGTGTGGGAGTGTGTGGGTGTGAGTGGGGGTGAAAGTGGGAGAGAGAGAAAGATACAGTTCTATAGATGAAACGCTTCGAGATATGAACTGGGGGTTTTAACTTAAATCTTCCTCATCATCTGAGGATGTATCTTTGTGAAAAAAAAGTACTTATCGGTCACACGAAATGGGGGCAACTTCGCCCGAAAAGCAGAGTTTCTCTCTCGTCTCGCCATCTTTAGGACGGACGAGGAGACGAGAATTTCCCCGAGATTCGTCAGGAGATGGTGGTATCCCTCACGAACCAGTGCCTACCGCCTGCTGCTGTCTCCCACCTGCTGCAGCGAATTGAGCGTTCCCAAGCTGCCGTGATGAATTACGATGGGATTCGTGAGTCCACTTGCGTTCACACGGGCTCCGGAAGGAAACCCATCACCGCAGTTTCTTCGGGTGGTCTCCGTCGCTCGAAATGCAAAATGACTCGGAGGAGGTCTGTGATCTAGATCGGATAGCTCCAAGTCAAAGAGTTGGATAACGCTGTTTGTACTCTCCGACCACACTCCTGGAGATTGGGTGGAGCTCGTTTCAGGGATTGGTATTATCTCCTCGCCGTGAGATGCTTCAGGACTGTGGTTGAGCCTGAGTACTTACAATGAAGCTCCTGGTCTTTAGCCGATGGGAGAAGAAAACTCGGGTATACTCCGTCGAAAGAAGCGCAATCCCGGGTGTTCTAGAGTGGGCAGGACCTCTAGGGACCATGAGGCCATCATTAACACTTTCGCTGCCATACGACCCGCCGGCGGGTCGTATGGCCTGGCCCGTTCTCTCTTCTCCTGGATCATACGAGCCGCCGGCGGGTCGTACAGNGCCGACAGTCATTGCGGACAAGCTCAGTTTCGTCATTACGGCTTGTCGATTGCAGCCCATGCATTCATCATCTCAAGTGGATCCCCACCTTTCACGGAATCGCTTGTGTCATGCACACCAGAATTAGGAGGATTACTTTGGCCTCAGGGAAACGGCCTCCAAATAATGGCTTGGCAGCGAAAGTGTTAAAGGGGCCTTATGTCTTTTTGCGCTCCTGTCCAGGATACTTCAACGCCACTTTCCAACTACCAGTCTGAGACCACTACAGGCTCGCCTGGTTATTTCATCCCTAGTTGGAAACTGAACTTTTAGTTCCATGTATGCCTACTATTCACAGTAACTTGGGCTCGCTAGCGATATCTAGCTGCGGGGGCTGAAAGTATATCACCCCCCTTTCTCCGGGGTCATCGGTTTTTACTGCCTTTCTGTGACACTATCGCTTGGTTACTACGCTGTACTTTCTTGATCTTTGATCTGACCATCAACTGGCAGAGACCTACGAGGTACCTTGGTAAGAGGTAAGAGGTAAGAGGTACCTTGTAAATAAAGGGTGGTCAAACGATGTTTTGGACCGCTCTTGGGATGTCTCTTGCGACTCGAATTGGCTTAGTATACTTGAGGACATGGCACCTCTGGTCGGATCTGCTCGGTTGGAGACACGTTCACGCTCACAACTATTTATTGCAATGGAAGAGTGACTTTGGTTCAGAGGCATTGAAATGTAACGAGAAAGAAATGCAGAGAGAAAACTGTCGTCAGGTTGGAGTTCGCGGTTCTTCCGTCGGAGAAAAAGGTGAAGTCTTCCAATGTTAAGTGACTTTGGCGACCACGCCGACAGCAACTATGCCGACAGCAACCAGTTGGTCTTCTCCAGAATGCTCCTGATCGTTGATTTCATGAAATTCCGCTGGTTCTGCAAACTCCTGATCCTTCATTTCCTGAAATTCCATTGGATATGTCATTAATGTTTATTACATGAACTCGATCAAAAGTGCCTGAGGAGATTACAATTGATCTGTGCTTGCAATGATAGCTTCATTCACTTCTGTAAGTACGTGTAACATCGACCTACCTTGATATAGGAGTAGACGACGAGGAAGAAACAGAAAGAGGCAACAAAACCAATACATAAGACGACGATGGTGGTGACGTCGGGGCCACCTTCGGACTGCTTGAGCCTGAAGACGATGACTAAGACGAGCCGACCGACCAGGTTGATGGGAGCCGCAATGAGCCACGCGATCATGCATTTCCTCATGCTCCGTAACGAGAAGCAATCGCATTCCCCTGTGGAAGTGCGCGGCCCTGCATTAAAGCCTTCACTTGCTTTCCTTGTGCATCAAGTAAGAGTGATATTCATCTAAAAAGTCTATAGCTCTTTTAGCACTTCATGCTATCGTAGATCCAACTAACTCTCTTCTCTTCCGGAATGCTTGCGATAACAGTTCGCTAAAGCAATACGATTTCTGAGGTAGTAGAAAATGAACCAAGTAAGTTTCCTTTACCTTGACCCCAAATAATTAACATATAGCATTAATAGTTCATGAATTTAAGTGCGCTTGATTGAACATATTTAAACAAAGGTCACTTTTGTGTTCTAAAAGCCAAACGTTGAAAATCCCGAAGAGGAGAATGAAATCAGCGATGATCATCAGACTGTAAAAGAAGGCGGTGCCAGTGCATATGCTGTAGAGAGAGAGAAAAAAAATAACGTGAGAAATCATCAGAAAAGCTGGTACTCTCAGTTACCATGATGAACTGGCCAGATGTTTAAGAAATAACCAGTTTGAAGATTTGAAAAAATCAAATTAAAAAAAAACTCACATTTACTTGATACAGCATTCTGCGTGTTATTGAAAATAACCTCGTCCCCCTTCGCCGACTTCACGCTCATGCTTAAGTAGCTGCAATGAAAAATCTGCAAAAGAGAAACTTCCCATAAAAGGCGAGTGGGGTATATTTGCTTTCGGGAGAAATAGTGGGAGAGGAGGGGGAGGGGGAGCAATCAACGTTTTTTACTGCAATCTTTTTCTTGGACTTGAATGCAAAACATACGATATATTGCAAACATGCTCGTATGTGTCCAGAAATTGTAGGGATTATAAATTATTTGTTTGGTCGTGACTCTATAGAGAGCACGTTCAGGTACTTCTTCGCTTACCCTATCATCAATTCCTATCGTAGATATTCGCGTTTCTTTCATCGAATATTACGATTTTGCGCAAATATGAACTTGCCCTTCCCGAGGTGAAAATGGCGAAAAGAAGAGTGAGATTGAGACCACTCTCTCCTTCATACAGTAAAATTTCTAACACGAATTGGATAATTATCTAGAACAGTCTTTAAAAGAAGAGAGCGCTAATTCCAGTTTCACACACTCTCTGGACATTTACCCTCCTTTTTTAAATTCTGGAACTAGCGAGTTTCTTTGCTCTTCTAGCAAAGAAACTCACTATGGTCCCGACTTCGGTGCTTCATTATTTAGAAATGTGATAAACCCATTTTAAATATATGTTTCGACAAATAAATCAACCTCAGTCATAGAAATATTTATTGCTCTGTCAAGTTACTTTCTGTCGTGACATCCTTGGCAAATAAATTAACGGAGATCTTTAGCTTTTGAAAATAGTCTCACAGAGAAGTATTTATGTATGGTACTTAAGCTATCCATGCCCCTCTCGAATAGCTTTGGAGTAAAAATTTATCGAAAACGTGCTGTATGTATGTATTTCTGTCACGTCAAAATGGAAATAAAGAGCCAGGAATTTCCTCGGAATAATATGTTATAGATAATCTAGACGGAATTTCAATTTTCTGCATCTGCCTCCTAATTGAAACAATAAATTTTCTTGAAAATGTTGCCTTAAAAAGTGTTCCCCAAAAGGGGTGTACTTTTTTCGACGATCGATCGACGTTGGACGGTTACAATGTGTCGAGATGAATGTCACTTTCTTTTAGCACCTGTGCTAAGTCGTGCCATGCCCATTTAGAGGTGAATTAAATCTGCATATTGGCGGATCATTCCACTTTAAGTGAGGTACGCAACCGTCTCAGAATTCCGTGAAATTAAATAACACTTTTAGGATTACTTGTAGAATAGCCGCAGGCAAAAGCATGCTTGTAGGTCAAGAGGGGGACAAGAAAAGTTAGTTTCATTTGAGGGGGTTTGGTGTTGGGGGTCTGGAGCACAAAATGGCCCCCAATCCCCAGATGCTAAATGTCTTTCTGATGATCCCCACTAAAATTTTCCTCCTCAGAAAGCTGTGGATAATTGAAAAAAATGAAAATACGAGTATATAACTGAAGGAACGATAACATTCTAGTTCTTGGATGTATACAATGGGGATTACTGCTTTTCGAATATGAATTCGCACGACCTGCAACATTGTGCATGGTGATTCTATGGACCCTTCAATGCTGGAGGTCCAACTATTGTTTCCATTCCGGAGGATATATGTCTCCCTCCCGCTACAGACAGCCACATCGCATCAATCGGTTGGTCGTTTAGGAGCTATTGTACAGCGCAGATGCCGTCGTGTGGCCCATATGAATGGATAGAAGTGTTGAAGAAAGGGAAAATCTTTCAAAATTAGTATTCGCATTACTACATACACTGATTTCACGAGCATCGAGGAATCAGAAAATAAACCTTTTTCTTACAATTCATAATTTTCAACCCAAAAGCAAAAAAAGGAATTGTTATATTTTACTTTATTTTTGGTTGGCTCATTTGCTACTGTCCTCACTGTACGCCAATCTAGTGTCGTACCCTCTACATACGTTGGATGTCGTCCGGGCGCCGCGAAGAAAGCACCACCATCCAGGTTGAGAGGATTTCCTAATTGAAAAGCATGGGATCCATGTTAAAGGTGGCATTAATTCATTTACAAAACACTATATCTATTTTTATCCATTGGCCATATGTTTTTTTTTTGTTTGTAAAACGGTTTTAAACCTTTTAAATGCCTTTTAAACATTATTTTCTTAATTCTAATACAGTGAAACTAATTTTTACATGTCCTGCCATGCATAAAGTATTTTTTGAGGTGGATGAAGTCGTAATTGCATATTCTCGCCAAGGCTTTCGATGAATCGGAAGAGGTACTATGAAGGAAAAACTTCAAAGGGATATTTCAGAGTCAAAGAAAGAATCTGTACTTCCCTAAAACTCGGAACAATCGACAGGCAATGACTTGAGCAACCAGTAGCATGTTCCCTAAAACTGCTAACTGTCGTTAAAAACGACATTTGGTAGTGGATAGATTGTTGGCAGTGCTTTTGCTAAAGCAAAAATTAAAAATATCCAAGTCTCAAGGAGTTTGACCGCATTAGTAGGGGTTGACATCGGAAAAAATAATGATGCATGTCCAAAAAGAGTTGGTCCAATGGACAAGAAATGCACTTCTCACGGTCCCAATAATTTGGTTACATTCAGACATCGTTTAGCAAGTCTGGAGACATGCTAAGTAAATTCCAATTAACTTCTACTTTCACTCAGGTGGGCCGAACCTGCTGATATGACTACGAAGAGGAAGGAACACCTTCTCTGGGGAATTCTAAGACCCTGGAAGGGAAAACAGGCAAAATGGTTTTCCGCTTCTGCATTTATCTGTAGATAATACATGTTTTATTATTAATGCATGGAATCGAGAGTTCACTCTTCAGAAATGAAGAATAAGTCTGAAAATAATGAACCCGCCATTATAGAGAAATAAGAAAGAAATTGCATCAAACCAAGTGAATTATCCCGATGGCGGCGCTGCCATCCCTTACACTCAGGCATCCACAGAAGCTTGACTTCAACATTTTCCCAGCAGATACCTGTCAAGATAAGAATTAGAAATTAGAAATCACCTGCAGCCTCCGTGAGAGTCTGAAGCTTGAAGCATGAGCACATGTGAATATATCATAAGCAAAGTTGAATCCATGGTCATGTTCCTGCAATAGCTGGCAACGGTGACTGGATGGTGAGACCCTATACCCCGTCGACATGATAGCATTGAACAGATTCACGAACGTGATCTGATCTTGATTTACTTCGGTGAAGAAGAGGGAATTAATTTAATTTATGCGAGGCAAGAATGGTGCTAAATGAAGTGAACGCATATCTCACACTTCGGCATATCTTCTACCCTTTAATATATTTCAAACGCGAAGATAAACACTTTCCTTATAACATGAAATGTTTTGACTTCCAAGAATATTTAAAAGCCCATTAGAGAATGGCAAGGAACATGTAAAAAATGGTCCATCCGCTTTCTTTGATATACTTTAAAGTGTTTTTAGGTTAATTTTCACTAGTCACGAGTCACCAATTCCCCAGGCCTGGTTCTCATGCACCTCATTTGTATTCAACTCTAGAATGGAAGGAGGCAGCTGAATTCTGTTAAATTGCACTTTCAAGTGAGGAAACCAACAAGCAACTAATAATGAAGAATGCGGGAATTCCATTATGAGCCGAATGGACACAAGCATAGATTCCTTCAATCGCATAGAGTGCTTGGTCCAGTCGTGAAACAAATATCGTGTCAGCTAGAAGAATCTGACTATTTACGTCATCTACTGAGATCGATTGAATATCCAGTGCGTGGATGAAGTTTATCAATGCGGACATGATTTACCCCGAGGAGCTCTCGAGCAAGAAACTTGTACAAGATCATATAGTTTCATGAACTCTTGTTTTACCTTTACCTAATTCACAAGTTCACAACTTTATAATATCATTGCCGACACATTTCCTGATCGGCGCTACTCCAAGGCGAATAAATTAGTCTTCACCTCAACAGCATAAACATAGCTTATATTCCAATATATATATTTAAATCAATTCTCTTTGGAATTTCCTCCTTCGATGTCTTCCCACTTTTCACAGGCTTTCTGCTCTGCCTGATTTGTGCAGATGATTTCCGTCGCCAGAATATTGAACTCGTATAACTGATACCATGGGAATGCATGCGGACCTGATGCATCACCTTGTGTATCAGTAGAGCATTTGCATAAAACAAGAGATGATGGAAATTTCTCATCCGTTTTCTATGTAGAAAGTCTTTGGACAGTGATCTTGCCTTTGGAAATATATGATCATAAACATGCTCTAACTTTCATTCAAGAGTTTAACCTGGTAGCGAAAGAAGAATATGTTCTATATCTTAAGGAATAAGATATAGGAGTATATCTTAAGGAATAAGTAGAATATAAATAATTTGCAAATGTGATATTCAACAAAAGCGTAACCTATGCCAGATG